TTTTTCATTTTTTAACTTTCTTTTTACATTCCTAATATTCCGTTCTCCATTTGCCATTGCCCAATTCTTATTTTTCATTCTAATTAATTAATCAATTTTTTTTATCCACTCTCCATTCTTCATTTTTAACCCCCATTCTACTTTCCTATTCTTTCATTCTCCATTTTTGTTCAATTTCTACATTCCAAATCATCCAATCTTTGTCCTAAATCCTCGATTATCCATTCTCCATTTTACGTTCCCCATTTCTTACTCTAATATTTTTATAAATAATTTTACTTTGCCTAATCAACCTTCTCTAATTCTAATTCTCCATTTTACATTTTCTATTCTCTATTTTCCCTTTTAGACTACACATTTTTCTTTTTTTTTACATTCCTAATATTTCATTCTACATTTTCCGTTGCCCAATTCCTATTTTCCATTCTAAATAATCAATTATTCTTTCTCCATTCTACATTCTTTAATTTTAATCCCCAATCTAATTTCCTATTTTTCCTATTTCCAAATTTTGCCTGATTTCTACGTACCCAATCAAACAATTTAAGTCCCGAATCCTCAATTATCCATTTTCCATTCTGCGTTCCCCATTTCTTACTCTCCATTTTTTATAAACAATTATACTTTGTCTAATCAACCTTCTCTATTTCCAAGTCTACATTTCCCATTTTCTATTGTCTATTCTAACTTTTACATCCTACATCTTTCTTTTTTTATTTCAAATTTTACATTCCTACTCTTCCATTATCAATATGGCGTTGCCCAATTCCTATTTTCCATTCTAAATAATCAATTATTCTTTCTCCATTCTCCATTTTTAATCCCCATTCTACATTCCTATTCTTCCTATCACTGATCTTCGTACATTCTTAATTCTCCTTTCAGAGCTCCATATATTTCATTATTAATTCACTGCTCTCCACTTTTCACTATCCAATAACCATTCTCCATTCTATATTCACCATTCAACATTCAACTTTTTACACTCTCCATTCATACTTCCCCGTTCTACCTTCTCCATCCGGCCTCGTAACTTTTTTGTTCCCAGCCCTCCATTGCACATTCTTCACTGGCCTCTCCTCTTTCTTTTATTCTACATTTTTTAACTTCCATTCCGCATCTGCCAAACTCCACTTGCTCCGCAGACTCAAAGAGACTTCAAGTCACCGCGACTCATTCATTGGCGTTGCCATGTCGGTTGCCGCTTTGGCCTCCATCCTCCCGTTCGTTCATCCGTCGTAACAGGTACACATAGAAACCGGGATATCCCCACAACCTGATAAATCACATTGCTCATTTGATTTTGACATCTTCTGGCTCTGGCGATGTCTGACAATGTGTCGGCATGCACGAGCGGCCGACAGTTTGTCGGCATCATCCACGAGCCCCGACTTCAAAAGACTCATTCCCTCCAACGAAAGGAAGTGACAATGGATTCTTCGAGAACAAACTTTCTTTTATATTTTGCAAGAGAAAACCATTCGGCAGGCAAGGCCAGGTGATGTCTGCTGGCCATTCGGTAACCCATTCGTGCCGCAGCAGAAGAACCACACCGACGTTACTTGCGTCGTCTCAAGCCGCTGAGGCTGACTGCATCCGCTGTTGGTGCATAGCTTCCGTCAAGGCTTCGAAGAGACGATCATGCCGACAATTGCGGCCTCGGGCTCCAGTCCCGCCGCGGTGCTGACGAGCTCGATTTTCGGGCGTTTTCCGCTTCCTCCACTTTGGGTTGAATTTTTACGGCCGAAATCCGAGAGCAGACAGCCCTAAAAAGCATCGGACTCGAAGGGAAGAGCTTTAAAACGGGCAGATGAACCCGAGCGATCAGAGCCCGGCTAAAAGAAGCAGGCAGACCGACTGAACGCCGGCCGATCGTCGACTGAATGTCGACTTTATACCAACTGAAAATTGACTGAATGTCGACTTTATGCAAACTGAATATAGACTGTGCGACTATTGAATTTAGACTGAGTAACAAGTGAACGTCGACTGAAGTTCGACCGAACAACGAAAGAATGTCGAATAAATTTCAAATGAATTTTGAATGAATGTTGATTGAATTGTTAATTAATGACAAGCGACATATTCCTAACGGTACGTCGACTAAGGCTCGATTGAATTCC